TTTTGGCCCCGCCCCTCAGGCCCCTGGGGGCTTAGGACTAAACCGGCAACTATTTTTGTTGACCTTTGTCCATGGAAGGTCCCTGCAAAATTTCATTGAAATTGGTTCAGGGGTTTTGGAGAAGAAGTCGAAAATGTAAATTGTTTACGGACGCACGACGGACGACGGACGACGACGGACAAAAGGCGATCGCAATAGGTCACTTGAGACTTTGTCTCAGGTGACCTAAAAACACATAAGAGGCAGAGAAAACGTAAATATATATTGAACTGTTTTTGTATGGTATTTATGATCTATTTGAATGACACAGCTTTGCAAGCAAACAAATCATAATGCGCTAGCGTGCGTTATGTTGTTTGCTTGCAAAGCTGTGTCATTCAAATAGATCATAAATACCATACAAAAACAGTTCAATGCTTAGTTGTATAAGTAAATGTTATGAATCCTAACTCCTTTGTTTTTGCTTTCATGACAGCTAGCAAAATACCTGAAACGAAAACTTACTTGTTGTGAAACACAGATTGTTTTGTTTCGATCAAGACAATGTCTTTGAAAACAAGAGGCCCAGGGTCCTTACTAATTTATATTTACTATCTGTATGCTAGCTTGGACCCACTGCTGAAAATGACATTCATCTTTGCATAACCCATGTGACCTCATCAACACGAAACAGCCATCAATGTAGTTTTGTTATGCTAATATGAATTTACATTTAACATTATTGGCTTGATTTTAAAGCTTAAGTAAGGTTAAGCATGATAATATAGTACAACATGTAGAAATTCTACAAATTTAATTTTGAAAATGAAACTATATTTTGTTTGTTTTGTTGCTAGGATCCCTACTGAAAGTTTTACATTTTCTCACAAAAACACACTGTTCTCTCTACTGCATTGCCCCCATTTATAAATATAAAACAGTACCCGTATTTGTTTTTATTTATGCTTGCAACAGAAAATGCAAAGCACTTAAAAATGTAAATATAAGGAATGAAATTATTTTTTTCAACATTCATAAGGTGGCTTTCTGGACATATTTACCAAGAATCGCTAACGCAATTCATAGAATATGTCCAGAAAGCCAATGTTGTTATAACCTCATGAATGTTGAAAAAATAAATTTCATTCTTGAAATAACCTACTGAATACCATACCAGTTCATCAAAAGAGTACAAGAAACACAAGCTGTAGGAAGGACTTAATCCCTTTGGATTGAAAAGACCTCTAGCACATGAGTGTATTCTTCAGGCCAAGTAATTTTTTAGAACACATATGGGTATTGGGTTAGGATTTCCATGTTATCACTCATGACTTAGTCGCCAACAGTGGGTCTCGACCACCAATCTAATCTTGGTAGCATGAATGTCTTCACCATCTTCATGCCTAGCAATTGTGTAACTAGTATTTGGTTAAATGGTGGGGATCCTGATGTTTCCAAGTTATAACATTATTTTCCTATTAGAACCCACCCCCCCAGTGAGAACAGACCCAAGTGTAGACTATGGTAGCTATGCATTTCTTTAACTTTGTTGAGCATTGGTACACATGAATAAAGGATGGTGAACTCCATCAATTACCAGTTCCAACATCACTTCTTCCATTAGGCCCAATTAACCCCTTTTATACAAAACTGATTACCCTATGCCAAAGGATCCCTCCATTGTTTTATGGGAGAATTTTTTTCTGCCCCAAAGAGGGAAAGGGGGGGGGGGGACCCTTTCTGTTTATACACAAGAGACCAAGAAGCCTTAACAGCTCATCTGGTAATATATTTTCAACTTGAAACCTGCTAAATACCATGCAAGTTTATCAGAGGAGAACAAGAAACATTAAGAAGGACTAAATCTGTTTAGGTGGGTACGACACCAAGCACATGAGTGTAATTAATCTTCATCAGCACTTTTGTACATGGCTATGGCATGGGGATCTCAACTGTTTCCATGTTATGACCCTGGGAGTTAGGGCTACATATCCATATTGTATGTTTGATTGTAGGCTTGGAATGAAATTACAAGTGCTGTCAAAGACAATTAATTCTCATTCGTGTCAGGGGTATTTTTAATAAGGAAACATACATATAAAATAGTGATGACAAAATTGAACAGTCAAAATTCAGGATGGCCACCTGTCGGCAATCTTGGTTAGTTAATGAATCACAATATTTGATATGAGAAATTTGAGAAAGATCCTTCTACACAGAGTACTTTCTGAGTAATTGTGCTAACAAACTTTAATTTTCAACATTCAAGATGGCTGCCTCAATTAAAGTGATTTTGCAAATATTTCCATATTTGAGTGTCCCTGGCTTAAGAATGTTCCAGACTAAATGAACTTTGTACTACCTTATCCCAGCATGCAACTGGTCAAATATCATCACTCAGGACCTCCTTGTAATGCGAAAGATGTTGTTTTTACAATTTTTTCCCCTTTGACCTTTGAAGTATTAGGTCAACAATTTATTTAGGGAAACTTTATAGCACTACCTACTGGCAAACTATCATAGCCCTGGTCATCCTGGTTGTTTTTTGATACATTGTATAAGGTTTTTATTTATTTCATGCCTGTGGCCTTGAAAGCAGGTCAAGGTAATTTATCTCAGAAAAGCTTATAGCACTACGTTCCAGATACCTACTGGCAAAGTATCATCACCATGCTATGTCTTAGTTATTTAGAAGAGGTCGCTCAAAAGTTTTAACACATTTGATCCATGTGACTTTCAACATATGTCAAGGTAATCAAGTTGAGGAAATTTCATAGCACAACATCCCAGGTAACTAATGGTCAAACATCATCACCCTGGGCTTCTTGGCTAAAAGGTTTTTACATATTTGACCCCTGTGACTTTGAAAGTCATCTATTTGAGGCCAGTTGAAAGTACTTCATGCCAGGGACCTACTGATCTAATAGCATGGCCCTAAGAAAGGTCCTCCAGTTCTTAAGAAGACGTAGTTCATAGAAGAAGAGGCCCAATGGGACTCCATCGCTCACCTGGTATAAATCTCACAATTTTGCAACCTTAGTGGACTAAAATAAAGCTACATGCAAAATATCAGTGTCTTGACTTAAAGTCATTCAGAAGAATTTGATAAACGATTAAAACACATTTGACCACTGTTGACCTTGAAAGTCAAACATGGACATGAAGTTGAACAAACTTTATTGCCCTTCATCCCAGAATGCAACTTACCAAATAACACAACCCAATACCTTTTGTTTATTGAGAAGATGACTTTTAAAGATTTATGCAATATGGACCAGATGCGACAATGAAAGTGTGTCAAGGTCATTCACATGAACAAGCAATCACCCTGTGTGGTTTCCTTATTCAGAAGAAGTCGTTTAAAGATTTCAACATATTCAACCCCTATGACCTTGAACAGGCAAAGTTCATCAATTTGAACTTGGTAGCCCCTCATCACCGCATGCTACTGGCCAAATAGCATCATTTTGTTCCTTTTGGTTATTCAGAAGAAATTGTTTAAAGTAAAAAGTTGACGCCGGACTGACAACGGACGGATGGACAACGGATGCCGAACCATGGCATAAGCTCACTTGGCCCTTCGGGCCAGGTGAGCTAAAAAGGTGACAGACGATGGAAGATAGACAGATGATGGACAGATGACAGACATACAACAGACAATGGACAAGACACTATACCATCTGGTACTTCATGCAGGGTGAGCTAAAGTCCTTTTTACTTAAAAATGCTCTAAAACAATTATAGTTAAAATCTCTCTCTTGGTACAGAAGGAAGAGGTCTTTGAAGATTTACCCATATTTCCTCTGTTGGGGCCCATCCCTCTGCCCTCAGAGGGGCCATGCCCTGTGCTTACACAAATTGTGTCCCCTTTTCCCAAGGATGTCCCAGATTAAATTTGGGCCAAGGATGCTTTAGAACAAATTGGGTTAAAAGTCCCCCATTTGTATGGAAAGAGATTTTTGAAGATATGTACCACTATTTCCCCATTTGACCCCATCCCTCTGCCTCAGGGGGCCACAACCTCCATTTATATGAAAATTGTTTTCTCTTAATTATGGATGTTCTACAACAAATTTGAATCCCCTGCATTTGTATAAATGGAGAAGGATTTTAAAGATTTATCCTGTTTCCTTTCTTAAGCCTTATCCCTCTGACCTCAGGGGAGCAACATCCTTCATTTGGCATATTGGACCAGTTGAGCTATAATGCTGTGCAGGGTTAATCAGCGTTATTATATCACTTCATTGCTGCATGTCAGTCTATCTCCTTACCTTTTCTATTATATATAATCTATATTTATTCACTAACTAGCCTGTGATAGGATTAGTGGACTAATGAACATGTTTTAATTACATTTAGTGTTATACTTATTGACTTATTTTCTGTTTGTAAATGCACGCAGATTAAAAGGGGCTATATCTATATATATATACCTGATAGTGTTGTAAACTGCAGTGTCATATTATTGCTAGTTCCTTTTTCATTTGCTGCAAACAACACCACCTCAAAGGTAGAAGCAGTACGTAAGTCTGAGATCACTATTCTTGAAACATCTTGCGGCGTATAATACTTTATCCAGACATCTGCAGTGCTTTCTTTAATCCACAAGTGGAAAGATTGGTTATCTTTTCCTCGATTTAGACCAGGTGTCCATGATATAACTGCACTTTCAGTAGTTATCTTGTCAGCACTGATATTGGTGGGAGTGTCTGGTACATCTGTAATAAATTATTAACACAATACATGTTATCATAATGGTAAAATATACGGGTATGTCTAATTCTCAAAGAAAGATGATGTTCACCTATTACAAGAGACAATTTACCTGAGAGAGTATTAAAGATGCATGACAAAATTATGAAATGAAATACTTACACAAAAGGCCCAATGTGCCTGCATCACTTACCTGGTATTAATATCACACTTGTAACCTTAAAAGTGGATAAAATAAAGATACAAGGTAAATATCATTACCTATGTCTTCTGTTCATTCAAAAGAATCTGTTTAAACATTTAAATACATCTGACCCATGTGATCTTGAAAGTCTAAGAATGTTAGTAAGTTGAACAAACTTTATAGCCCTCCATTTAAGCATGCAACTTGCTAAATATCACCACCCTAAAGCTTTTGAATATTGAGCTGAGGTATTTCAAAGGTTAATACTAATTTCACCATATGTGACCTTTAACAAACTTGGTAGCCCTTCAAACTACCATGTCAAATATCATCACCCTCAGGGCCTTTTGGTTTTTCAGAAGTTGTTTTAAGGTGTGTGTTGTTGTTTTTTAGATAATTTACCCCTGTGACCTTGAACATGGGCAAAAATCATTCATTTGAACAAACTTGGTAGCACTTATCTGAGCATGCTAATGGCCTAATATAATTATCACCCTCAGCCTCTTGTTTATTCAGAAGTTGTATAAAAAAAATCAACACATTTGACCCTGTGATCTAGAATATGAGTGAAGATCATTCATTTGGACAACCCTCGTAGCTCTTTATCTGAGCATCTAACTTGCCACATGCTAAATATCCTTAACTATGAATCTTGGTTATTCAAAATCACCTATTACAATATTTTAGCCCCAATGACCTTGAACATCTCACGAAGTCTTCTGTTGAACAAACTTGGTACTCTTGATCTAAAGCCAAATATCATTACCCTGTGACTTTGAGAAGAAGCTGTTTAAAGATTTTAACATAGTTGACCCCTGTGACTCTGATAGTGGATCAAAGTCATTCAACAAACTTGACTGCCATTCCTCTGCCTTCCTCTCTAATGCTAATGCCCCAAAATCATCATTCTAAGACTCTCTGTTCTTGAGGTCAAGTTGTTTGCACTTTTTCACATATTTCACCCTGTTACCTTGAAAGTTGGTCAAGGTCATTACAATTCACAAATTTTGTGGGACTCCATCCCTGGAAGCTACCAGCGAAATTTGTGACTCTATAAATTTTCGTTATTCAGTTGCACTCTGTGAATCCTTATTGTCCCACCTCTCAGCCCTTCCCTTGGGGGAGAGAGGCAGCTCCATCTCAATCCCCTCCATAGGCTTATATGTTTACTACCAAGTTTCATCAAAATCTGTCTGACTGTGTTTACGTATGACAACAGACGGAAAGTGATAGTGCTAGGTCACCTGAGTCACTCAAGTGACCTACTAATAAACTTACCAACTATGCCGATTTCGAAGCTATGTATAAGGTTTGGGCTAACATTGTTTGTAACAGTGAGGCTGTAGTCTCCCTCTTGGTTGATTTGGAATGATGGGAAATCAAGATGGACTCTGTATCCTCCTCTTGATATGTCTTTGCCATATATGTTGTCCTTTACAGTTCCCTTTATGAAGGTGATATTGAGAACACTTGTAGAGGAAAGTCGTCCCGTTTTACTGATAAACATGTCAGTAGGAGACGGATGGCTGATGAATGTCATTGTTATGTTGAGATGGTTCTCCTTTTCCGTAACATAGAGTGATTTTTTTTCCAGTAACTTCGGACTTCCTGTAACAGGTATTACAAGTTAACAAACGTTATGAACAAATCAGCAATATTGATAATTGATTTTCTTTTTTTCTCAATACTGTATAACATGAAATGTTCTTTGTGTATAAACTTTCGTTGTTTTCGTGGTTGCTATGAAAATTATAGCTATTTCAATCAAAATGTGCACACAAAAGTCTAGTACATTGTACGTGTATAATTATGACTATGTAACATCAACGAAGAAACAGTTGCATAAGAATTAAATACTGAAAATGTTGCAGATTCCAGTAAAGTATAAATGAAACTAGAAACTTGTTTTTGTGAACAAAACATGTCTCCCCTTATTAGCCAATAGACAAAACTTCGGTATAAAAAATTAACAAAGGACCATATCTCTTTACATAGTTGGACACAAGATTTGAATTTAGAATGCGACACTACTATTTCCCAAGATAAATAACTATAGCAAGTTTGGTTGACGTAGATGAAATAACATGGGAGTTATGCCGTAGCCAAACTTTGGTATTAAAAATAAACAAAGGACCATAACTCTATATATAGTGGGGCACGAGACCCAATTACAGTCCGAGAGATTCCGCCTTCCCAAGATAAATAAATATGGTTGGTTTGGTCAACATAGGTGAAATAACACAGAACTTATGTTCCAGACAAACTTCGGTATTAAAAATAAACAAGCAAATTCGTGGAATTAATATCCTCCGCTTGCAGGACATATTGTAGGTTAATATTATTGAGGTTATGTTTAAACACGGAGTATCGTGCTGTTGAGACATAATGTATAGCTTGCAACTTGAAGGGAAAAAAAGCCCTATACCCCATTGATTATCCGTAAATATGCACAAATGACATCGGTTGGCAAACTTAGCATGAGTTGGATGTGCATAAGGAATTTGGTTGAAACATCTTAACAATATCTACAGCAACAAGTACTAATTGTAATGGGGGACCATTACACTGATGTCCCCCAAATTGCTCCCATAGTCGCAAAGATTCATCAGAAAAGGATCGCATTGCCATAGTACACCTACAATGTACATAATCAATTTGAGTAAAATTGAGCAATTTCTAAATCGAACCAATCAGAATCCTCTGTGTAGTTAATAGGGCAACGGAACGTATGCGATTGAATTTACAGTCCCCTAATACCCCTATATACCAATTTTCATCGAAATCAAACAATATCACAATTGCGACCAATCAGAAGCCTCCGTGTGGTTGCTATGGTAACGAAACTTATGTGGTTTTATTCGCAGTCCCCTTATACCCCTCTATAACGATTTTCATCAAAATCGAACAATACCTGAATTTCCACCAATCAGAAGCCTTCTTGTGGTTGCTATATGGTTGCTTTGGCAACGAAACCTATGCGGTTTTATTCACAGTCCCCTTATACCCCTCTAAAACGATTTTCATCAAAATCAAACAATATCTGAATTTCCACCAATCAGAAGCCTTCTTGTAGTTGCTATATGGTTGCTTTGGCAACGAAACCTATACGGTTGAATTCACAGTCCTCTAATATCCCTATATACCAATCAAAATCAAACAATATCTAAATTTCGACCAAACATAAGCCTCCGTGTGGCTGCTATGGTAACGAAACTTATGCGGATTTATACCTTTTTTCATAAAAATACAAAAATATATAAATTTCGACCAATCAGAAGCGTCTCCATTTGGTTGCTATGGCAACGAAACCTATGCGGTTGAATTTGCAGTCCCCTTATACCCCCAGATACCAATTTTCATCAAAATTGAACAATATCTTAATTCGACAAATCAGAAGCCGGTGTGTGGTTGCTATGGCAAGGAAACCTATGTGTTGATTTTGCAGTACCCTTATACCCCCAAATACCATTTTTCATCAAAATCTTACAATATCTGAATTTAGACCAATCAGAAGCCTCCGTGTGGTGCCTTAGGCAACAAAACCTATGCGGTTGAATTCGCAGTCCCCTAACATCCCTATTTACCAATTTCAATCAAAATCGAACCAATTTTGAAGAAAATTGGTTAACATTTGTTATAGTTATTGCACAGAAACAAAACCCAGCAGATAATTACGCTTTTCGTTATTCAAGGGGCCGTAACTCCGCCAAATGGTGTCCACTGAAAGTGGTCATCGAACTTGGCCGAGCCCTTAAGACATTTAATCCTTTGACCAAGTTTGAGGAAAATCGGTTATTATGATGTAGTTATTGCACGGAAACGAAGCGCGGCAGATAATGACGTTTTTCTTTATTCAAGGGGCCATAACTCCGCCAAATGGGGTCTGCTGAAAGTGGCCATCGAAATTGGCCGAGCCCTTTAGGCATTTAACCCTGTGACCAAGTTTGAAGAAAATCGGTTATTATTTGTTGTAGTTTTATTGCATGGAAACAAAGTGTGGCAGATAATGATGTTTTTCGTTATTCAATGGGCCATAACTCCGCCAAATGGGGTCCGCTGAAAATGGTCATCAAACTTGGACGAGCCCTTAAGGCATTTGACTTTGAGACCAAGTTTGAAGAAAATAGGTTAATATTTGTTGTAGTTGTTGCATGGAAACGAAGCGTGACAGACAGACAGACGGACAGACAGTCAGACAGACAGACCCAAATTAATATCCCCCGTTTCGGTGAAAGCATGGGATAACAAAGGGCAATAACTCGGTATCATGTGGGGCATGAGACCTAATTATATTGCATTGCACACCTTCTGTGGTAATGCAGTTTGATTGAGATATCTTTAACGGTTTTGAAGTTATGCAGTAGACAAACTTTGATATAAACAAGAGGCCCAATGGGCCTGCATCGCTCACCTGTTAATAATCTCACAATTGTTACCTTAAAAGCGGTCTAAAATAAAGCTACAGGCAAAATATCAGTGTCTTCACTTTAAGTTTAAAGTCATTCAGAAGAACCTGTTAAAGGATTAAAACACATTTGACCCCTGTGAACTTGATAGTCAAACATGGAAATAAAGTTGAAATATTTTTATAGCCCTTTGTCCCAGAATGCAACTTGCCAAATATCACCACCCTATACCTTTTGTTTATTGAGAAGATGACTTTTAAAGATTTATGCACTATGGACCAGATGTGACCAGGAGAGTGTGTCAAGGTCATTTACATCTACAAGCAATCACCATGTACACTTTAGTTAGTCATTTAGATGTTGTTAAGACAATTGACACATGTGACCTTGAATACGAGTGAAGGTCATTAATTACAACAAATTTGGTAGCCCTTAATGCAAACATCCTTCTGGCCAAATATCATCAACCTGGACCTTTTGATTATACAGAAGTCGTTTAATGATTTTTAAGGCAATTGACCCTTGTGATCTTGAATATGGGAAAAGGTCATTCATTTGAACAAACTTGTAACCCTTTATCCCTACATCCTTTTGGCCAAATATCATCACCCTGGACCTTTTGATTATACAGAAGAAGTTGTTTGAATATTTTAACATATTTGACCCCTATGACCTTAAATATGCATGAAGGTCATTCATTTGAACAAACTTGTTAGCGCTTTATCCAAGCATGCTCCTGGCCAAGTTTCAACACCCTAGACCTCTTGGTTAATTAGACAAGAGGCCCAAGGGCCTTAGCGGTCACCTGAATTATATTATAGGTACTGGTAGCTTTATTTTATTGTTTAGATGTGATGTGGAAATCAGCATGTAAACTAAGTGAAATACTTGTCATGTCATCAAAGGATAAGAATTTGAAAATATTGGTAAATGTTCCCTTTGGAGCCCCGCCCTAGCCCCTGGGGATGGGGCAGGAGTCCCAATTTTCCAAAGTAATACTCTCATTCACCAAAGATGATTCTGACTAAGTTTTAGTAATTTTCTGCTGAAAATGGATAAAATATATATCCAAAAGTGTTATTTCCCTATATAAACTATAGTAAACTTTACCCCCTCCCCAAGGGAGAACAGATAGCTCGGGGGTCCTGAAATTTACAATGTAAATAAAGCCCCTGATGATCTTTCCATCCACGCAGAGAAAATGACTGTAGTATAGGACTCTGAGTCTGGGGAAGAAGATTTTTGAAATATTGGTTAATTTTCCCTTTGGGGCCCCGCCCTGGCCCCAGGGATGGCGTAGGAATCCCAATTTTACAATTTAAAACCATCTTCCTTTAAGGATAATTCTCACCAAGTAAGAATAATTTCCAACAGAAAATTGTCAAAATATACCCAAAAGTGTTTTTTCCCTATATAATCTATGGTAAACTTTAACCCCTCCCCAAGGGAGAACGGATAGCTCGGGGGTCCTGAAATTTACAATTTAAAGAAAGCCCCTGATGATCTTTCCATCCATGCAGAGAAAAATGACTGTAATACCTCTGATGATCTTTCCATCCATGCAGAGAAAATGACTGTAATACCTCTGAGTCTGGAGAAGAAGATTTTTGAAATATTGGTTAATTTTCTCTTTACGGCCCCGTCCTGGCCCCTGGGGTTGGGGTAGGAATCTCAATTTTACAATTTAAAACCATCTTCCTCCTCCAAGGATGATTCTGACCAAGTAAAAATAATTTCCAACAGAAAATTGTCAAAAATATACCCAAAAGTGTTGTTTCCCTATATAAACTATTGTAAACTTTACCCCCTCTCCAAGGGAGAACGGATAGCTCGGGGGTCCTGAAATTTACAATTTAAATAGAGCCCCTGATGATCTTTCCATCCATGCAGAGAAAACAACTGTAATACCTCTGAGTCTGGAGAAGAAGATTTTTGAAATATTGGTGAATTTTCCTATTTGGGCCCCGCCCTGGCCCCTAGGGTTGGGGTAGGAATCCCAATTTAAAATTTGGTAGCCTCATCTACCAAGGATGATTCTGACCAAGTTTGAAAAAATTCCATCCACTGGTTCTTGAGAAGAAGTTGATAATGTAAAAGTTGACGCACGACGGACGACGGACGACGACGGACGGAAAGTGATTGGAATAGGTCACTTGAGCAAAAGTTTAAACAAATTTGACCCTACTTTAAGTAACAAGAGGCCCATGGGCCTTAACGGTCACCTGATATATTCATACAGAAAGTTGATTTTGTTTTTAACATGAACATGAAATATTATTCAAAGTGACAAAAAACAACAAGAGGCCCAAGAGGGCCTGTATCGCTCACCTGAATATTTAAGCAGTCATAGCAAAATATTCTCATTAAATATTATATTGCACTAAAAATATTTCCCTCACAAACTTTGTTGGCTCCATCTGTTGAAACTACCAGCAAAATATTATTACAAGATTCTATGCTTTTTGATTCTTCAGAAGTTGCTTGACATATTTTTCCCTGTGACCTTGTAAGTAGGTCAATGTCATTTTCCTTCTCAAATTGGTAAGCTCTATTCCAAAAGCTACCAGCCAAATCTTATGAATCCATTCCTTTT